CTCTTGGTGAAATGTAACTTTTATCATTATATACTGCCCCTCTTTGTCTCTCGTTGTCTCTTTTATCTTGAAGTCTGCATCTTCTGATGTAGGTATGTCAACACCATCTTTCTTTTGCTTGCCATTTGCTTGGAGCATCATCTTCCATCCCTTCACTCTGAACTTGTGTTTGTCTTTAGAACTGAGATGTGTTTTCTGGCGGCAGCAAATTATTGGGTCTTGTTTTCAAATCCATCCACCCACTCTGTGTCTTTCTATTGGAGAATTCCATCCATTTACGTTTAGAGTGATGTTGATATATAAGGGCCTAATACTGCCATTTTATCTCTTGTTTTCCAGTTTTTCTATATTTCCCTTGTTTCTCTTCCCTTGTGTTTCTGACTGCCATTTCAGTTTGGTGATTTTCTGTGATAGTTTTCTCTATATTTATGATTTGTGTCTCTGCTTTGATTTTTTTGTTTAGTGGTTACCAATGAGGTTTGTATAAAACATCTCGTAGATGAGATAGTTCATTTTCTGATAGCCTCTTATCTCCATTAGCCTAAGCAGGTTCTGTCCCTACCCTCTTCCCCATCTACACTATTGTCACAAATCATTCTGTTTCATGTTGTGTGTTTGTGATTAAAATAAAGTGTTTATAGTTATTTTGATGCTTTCCTTCCCTTTATCTTTTATATTATAATTGTTTGCTAACCTGTTCTGATAGAGAGTTGCAATTTTCTGATTTTGTCTATTTATCTCCTTGCTCAAGGCTTTGTAAACTTTTGCCTTTTTGTTTCAGGTGTGAGGGCATCCTTGATCATTTCTTGTAAGGGAGGGTCTGGTGGCAATGAACTCCCTCAGCTTTTGCTTATCTGGGAAAGTTTTTATTCCTCCATCATATTGAAGAATAGTTTCACTGGATACAATATTCTTGGCTGGAAGTTTTGTCTTACAATATTTTGAATTTATAATTCCAATCCCTCTTAGCCTGTAAGGTTTCTGCTGAGAAATTCGCTGAAAGCCTAATAGGAGTTCCTTTGTGTGTTATTCTCTTCTGCCTCTCTGCTCTTAATATTTTTTCTTTGTCATTGATTTTTGCCAGTTTTACTATTATCTGCCTTGGAGAAGGTCTTTTTGCATTGATGTAATATAGAATTCTATTGGCTTTATATATTTGTAAGTTCACTTCCTTCCCTTGGTTTGGGACGTTCTCAGCCATTATTTCTTTGAACAAGCTCTCTGCTTCTTTCTCCTTCTCTTCTTCCTCTTGAATGTCCATAATCCTTATGTTGCATTTCCTAGTTGAGTCAGATATTTCTCAAAGAATTTCTTCTTTTTTCTTCCTTCTGAGGAAGATTTGCCCTAAGTTAACATCTGTGCCAGTTCTCCTCTACTTTGTATGTGGGATGCCTCCACAGTATGGCTAATGAGTGGAGTAGGTCCACACCTGGGATCTGAACCCATGAACGCTGGCTGCTGAAGCAGAGTATGGAAATTTAACCACTCAGCCACAGGACTGGCCCCTCTTCATTTTTTTTAAGTCTTAGTTCTCTCTCCTCCTCCATGTGAAGCATTTCCATATTTCTGTCCTCTAAACCACTAGTTCTGTTCTCCATAATGTCAGCTTCATTTTTTGATGTTTCTAGATAGTTTTTTATCTCAATCATTGTGTTATTCATCTCCAGAATTTCTGTCTGGTTTTTATTAGTTTCAATCTCTTTTGTGAAGAATTACTTCTGCTCATTAATTCTATTCCTGAGTTCATTGAACTATCTTTCTGAGTTTTCTTGTAACTCATTGAGTTTCTTTATGAGAATTATTTTGAATTCTCCGTCATTTAGATTGTAAATTTCTGTGACTTCAGGATTGGTTTCTGGAGACCTGTCATTTTCCTTCTGCTTTGGAGTGCTAATGTAGTTAATGGTGTTTGAAGAAGTGATCCCTTGCTGGTGCATAGTGGTAGTATCAGGTTGCAGATTCCACCTGCCATGACTGTTGGGGGGGGGGCAGGAGTTGTTTTCTGAACCCACCACATTGGCTGGAAGTTATGCCAATAGGATTTGTCTGCATTTGCCCTCTGACTGCAGCCACTTCGTGGGTCACACAAGCTCATGCAGGTGCTCTGGTGCAGATCCACTGCGTTGGCCCGGGATGGCTGAGCTGGTGTGCTAGGCAGTGTAGGGGAGTGGGTGTGGGGGTGCTTTCTTTCATGCATATGAGGGCCTGCTCTGTGCTCATGGGCAGTTTGCCTAGGCTGCTCTGCTTGGTGGGGACACCTACGTGGTGGCTGAGCCATGCCACTCAGTGTGGAGTGTTTCTGCAGGCCAGGAAGCAACTCTGAAACTGAAAGCATTCACACCCAGGCCTGCCTGCTCTCCCACCTCCTCTTACAGTTGCACACTGGCAGCTGCTTGAGGACCCGCAAACTAGATTGCTGCTGCTGAGAAGAGGGAAGATATCTGCTTACCTCTTTCCACTGCTTCCTGGGAATCCTGTACCCCCACCTTTAGATGTATGGCTGCATGGGCCTCCCAGACGTCCTGTTGTGTTTTGTAGGGAATCCTCTGTTGGTTGATGAATGTCTGTTTACTTGTAACTTGGGGGGAGAGACTAAGTGAACAGCTCACACTGACCATGATTCTGACGTCACTCTCCTCATTAGACTTTTTTTTAAGCAAATGTATATGTATAGACCTTCTGACACACAAATAAATGAGTTCAAAGGGGTCCTCTTATAGAAGTCTATGCATGTAACTAGGAAATGCTGCCATTGTTGAAAACATTTTGGAATTCTCCTTTAGGAACCCATTCAGATTCAGCTCCTTGTGTTGACAGATATTGTCTTATCAGGTGGCAAATTCCTACTGAACTTTAAAGGGCCAGCAGTCACTCACACTTTGGTATAAACTAGTTAAATCAAATGCAACTTAACTATAATCTGATAGTCTAGGAAATGGAAGGAGAGGGTTGTGTAGGGAGAGGCAGAGCTTGGCAGTGGAATGCTGGATGGCAGAGTGGGTTAAAGAATTGTGGGGAGTGGAGAACTTAGGGCCTCCAGAGAGCAACTGGAGAGTCTGCTGTGCCCTAGGATACTAATTAAAGAAGGGGTGGGATGCAGGGCTCAGGGGTGGGAGAGGATTAGGAAGGCATAAGGAGGAGCCTTGGGGTCAGTAAGTGAGGAGGCATTGAAGCAGTCAAAAGTTCACTGAAGTTAGAGACTGGGAGGCAGGTGGATTGGATCAGAGTTGGAATCCTAATTTTGTCATTTATTAGCTATGCTACCAAAAGCAAGTGATACCTTTCTAAATGGCTTACTATAAAACAGTTTTTTCCAACTATAAAATAGGGGTAATAATAAGGCCTTCTTTCAGCGTTGTCACAGGGCAAATGTAATAAATTACATGGATGGTTGTTAGGCAGTCAGCGCTCGTAAAGGTCAGTTTGTTGTTATTACTTGTGTAAAGTTCCAGGAAATGGCCTAGCACACGCCCTGCCCCTTCCAAGTGAAGCCTCACCAAATTCAACTCAGCAACGTTTGTTGAGCACTAATATCCCCCCTGCCGTGTTAGAGCTATCAGATGGAGAAAGATGAATTAAAGGGAATTATTTGCCTACGATCTACCAAGCAGCCCAAACCAAGCTCACAAATGACAAAAACAGATGTAGGAGTCAGGTGTTTGAGAGGGAGTTGAAGGATGGAGGAGATTCACACAGGTGGGGGACGTGGGCAGGGTGATCCTTGAGAAGGAAGGAGTAGAGGCACAGAGGTGGGGTCATCTGAGTAGTGAGTGGATCGGTCAGTGCTGTGGAGCAGGAACAAGACTGTCCTGTTGCAGCCATGTATGAAGCCTGCAATGTATTACTGGCTTCTCATCTTATCTCAACTTGAGCTGTGTTTCCAATACAGGTCTGAAAACTGGGCTCAGGGCAGCTTACACTATTTGTCAATATTATACTTCCTTCATAGTGTTAAAGAAAAAACACTTTAATATCTACCAGTTTGCAAAAGATTCTTGTGAACCGATGAGATCCACAGGAGGAAAAAGATGCCACTTGTTTTACTATTTGTTTTTCCCAACCACAGAAACTAAATCTCTCTCAGATTGCCTGTTGTCCGAGATAAGTGACAATTTGAATGGATATTGGAAAAGGTGTGAACTTTTGGGTGTAGTTACATACCAGGTGAAATTTAATATATGGATGCTAACAATCCAAAACCTGAAGCATACAGACTCCACCTCTGTGTCCCTCCTGGAAATTAATGAGGTCTGAGATCACAGGGAGGGTTGTTCATTCATTCATTCACTCAAACCTGCATGCATTATAGTGTAGGAGACCAGACGGTCTGGAAATAGGGTGCCTGGGTTTGCATCCTGGCTCTAGCTTACTTTCTGTGGAGCCCTCTTTGTGTCTGTCATGTGGGGTAACAGTACGTTCCTCATACGGTGGTTGTGAGAATTAAATGAAATAGCGCATGGCATATACTTAGTACATGGCCTGGTGTGTAGTAAATTGTGAAAATCACTATCACTCCACATCTTGTCTGTATCAGGTACTGTGCTTAGTGCTATGAATAAAGTAGAGCCCCTGACCAAAAGGCAGAGAAGGTTACAGTGGACAGTAGCTCTGAGTTCACGCACATCTTTTGCATTTCTCCAGGGTTTATGGGCAGGTCCCCTACTGGAAGGGATTTTTTAAGAGTCCCTTCTCTTATATCTTAGCACTTTTGACAGACTACTCATGCCACCTCTTCAGAAAGACTTTCTCTGGCCTCCAGCCCCTCCAATCCCATCTCCCTGTCTTCCCTAATTTCCTTCATAGCACTTACCATTTTCTGAACTTGTATTCCTTGCTTACTTGCTCACTGCCTTTTTCTCCTGCTCGAATGTAAGCTCTAAGAGAACCAGGACCTTGCCTGGTTCATTTCCCCTCGTATCCCAGGCACACTATAGTGTTTAATAAATGCTTCTTGGCTGACTGACTACTGAATGAAGGCCAGCAGGAGGTCTTGAGTGGTGCAGATCTGACAGAACAATTAGATTTTAAGTCGTTCCTTGAGGACAGAGGCCATGTTTACTTCTATTATCTTTCTTGGCTTCCCCCGCACCAACCCTCCACATAGTTCTGGACACACGGCAGAGCAGGACAAACATTTGTTGGCTGCTTGGTTGAATCAATAACGAGAGAGAAGGTATACCTGGATGGAGTAAATGGAGTATGGAGATTATGGGTCTTGAAGACAGAACCAAGCGTAGCAAATTGTTTTTAGTGTGGTGTGGAGGAACAAGTAGATTTATAGTCATTTTTACTGTTTGTGAGTTTAAAACTATGGCACATGAGCTCATACAAGAAAGCTGGAGGTTTCACAATTTTCCATTGCTTTGAAATAGAGGTCACTTCCATCTACATTGGCATCCACCCCTTAGGTCTACGTGACATTTACAAGTCATTTATCAGCACTGAACTCCCAAGAGCTTGCTCTGCCATTCTCCAAGATGTTGGCTGACACCTCTGACAGGAGAAGCCAGGATGTGTTTTGACAACCAAGTGGTTTCCTTAGCAAACTGCGGGTGTTCTCAGGCAGCTCAGTGGAGAAAGCTCTGGCTTTCAGATCAAGACCGTACCTCTCAAGGGCTTTCCCTCTCTGAAGCACACGTTGGCTTCATCCTAAGGCTGTTATTTGGATTTGTCCCTGGGCTCTGTGAATCTGGCTTGTCAGGTGAGTCAAAGCAAGTCTCGGTTCTCCTCACCTTTGTTATTTTACTTAAGAAAAGCCAGCGAACTTGTAACACAAACATCCAGAGACCCCAGAACATATGTTCTGAGCCCTTTCTAAGAACTCAGCAGTGAGCTAAGTACCATGGCGGGGAGTATGGTCAAGACACCAAGAGTCAAAGTGGAGTGTCAACTCCTACACAGATGAGATTTAAGAATTCAAGGTACTGGGTGCTACTGGTACTGCTAGCTACTCCTTGCTGATACCTACTGTGTGCCGGGCTTCATGGTAGATATTTTATAAACATTACCCTCAGTCACAGAAAAATCCTTGCCAAGTTGACCAATGAAATTTGTAGAAACCACACAGCTAATAACTGGCAGAGCAGGATTTGAACCCACGTTCTCTGCTTCCAGACTGTGTGTCTCTTTCCCCCCAGCCAGCTGGTAAGGCTGTTAAGGGTTGAACGTGGACGAGTTAAGATCCGTACTGGTAGGTACTCCAGGTAGAGCCATGAAGATCCACCTTAACGGTGAACACCGGATGTGAATAGTTGGAAAGGGGGGCTGTAGTGAGTTTTGAACTGCTGACTGAGGGGTTTGGAGCTGATTCTATAACGTGGGCGAGGGCAGCTGTGGAGGTTTTCAAGAGGGGGAATTAACCCTATGAAAGTGGTATTTTAAGAAAACTTGCAAGAATGGCATGTGGGCAACCCGGAACAGGGAAACCAGCCATGAAGTTTTGGGCCAGCAGAGGCGTGAGAATGCTCCCACTTCCCTATTGGCTGCTCTGTGTGAGAATGATTTCTCTTCCTCTCTACTCACCTCCATTTCAGCACAGCTGCTGATGTCCCCCTACATGGCCGAGGCAGTTCTGCCCCTCTGAAGCGCTCTCCCCAGCTCCTGCTGGGCCTGTGGCCTGACTCCCTCAGGCCAGGGGGCCACAGCTATGTCCAAGGTTGCCTGGCTGTGCAGGGCCTCAGCAGATCCAAATAAGCACATTTTCCTTAGCTTGAGGGAAGCCTGCCAATCTACTGCCATCACAAGGGGGTACAAATCTTTTGCTCTCTTGCTAAAAATGCAACTGGACCTTATAGAAACAACTTGGATGCTTTAGAACATAATTTATTTCCCTTATCTCATTAGGGGAAGGATGGGAAGATGATGCCTCTTATTTTAAATGGGAGACCAACGTCACATATTGCCTAACGTCATGCTTGACTTTTGCTGGAAGTTTGTCTGTGAAGTACAGATAGGATGTCACGATTTCTTTCTCCTACAATGTATTTAGGGCTCCCGGAAAAGACACAGCTACTTTTACCAAGAGAGAAGGTGCCAGTTCCCTGATGGTGGGTTGCTACCAGCACCCCAGGCTCAGGGACACACCTGTAGAGATGCGATTGTGGCGTATGGCATGGGGGAGGGCTTTGGGGCATCTACTCCCTGTTCTCTCCACATCAGAGGGGCAGCTTCAGCCTCTGAAAGCTGATACTAGTGGATCTGGCAACATGGAGTGGACCCAGGAGTTCATACAACCAGACAACCATAGAATCAGGGAGTATCAGAGCTGGAAGGTGTCTCAGAGCCCAACAATAGCAGTGGTCCTCAAATTTCAGGGTGTATAAGAATCCCCAAGGGTGCTCCCAAAAATCCAGATTTGTGGGCCCTCCCCCGAGAGATTCTGACTTAGTAGGTCTGAGGAGTCTGCATTATTAGTTGGAACTCTTCACTATAAGCTACAGGAACTCCTGGTCCTGGTCTGAGCAGGAAAGTAGCCATAGAAAGGATACATGTGGCACGTGGAGCCAAGGGAAGCTGGGCAGGCGGAACTGCTCTGGGACCTATAGACTCTGGGAAAGCAAAGAAGGAGGTGGAATGACATTTAGAGAGTATCATCGGGTCAACCTGATAGCTTAGCGTCAGTTCCACAAGAGGGACCTTATGGCGTAACTCACACACTCTGTACCCTTCCAGAAAGGTCTTTCCTCAGACCTCCTTCTTGAACCCCGTTGTCACCAGCCTTCTGATTTGGGCCCTTCCAGGTCCTTAACTATGGAGCCAAACTACTGTCTGTTTCCTGTGATTTTCTGTAGACCCTTACTTCAGATCGGCTCTCCTTCTAGGAAAAGTGGGCAATCATCGTCCATTGGCTAGAGAGAGGTTTTGTGTTACAAACTTGTGGTATTTTCTGGTGATTTTAATAGACCTAATACTTATGCAGTGTTACTGTGTGCTATTATACGGTTAATCGTTGCAATAACTCTGGAAAATTGGTGTCCCATTGTCACTCTCATTTTACACATGAGGAAGCTGAAACCAGAGAGGCTAAGTCATGTGCCCAAGGTATGTAGAAAGTAATGGCCCAGCTGAGATTTAAGCCTAGGCATTCTGGCTGCAAGGTTTGTGCTCTTCTAACCACTGTGCTGTAGCTGCTGTCCTTCTTTTGAAGAACTGTGTGTTTGTGAAATATATCAGGCCTCCACGCATCACATCCGGAGGGTTTTTAGGCTTTTACTGGGCTGCCCACTTAGTCCCTTTTGGTCGTAGATCCCTATGATCAGGTATCCACTGCCAAAGACGCCCATGGTTTGCATCCTGATTCCTTCCACAGTCCCCTGATCTATGGTGGTAACCATGCCCGCCTCGTCTCTAGTTATAGAGACACTGTCTCTAGATACAGCCAGTACCTAGGTTGAACCATTATAGTTAGAAAATCTTTTTTGTCTTAACTCTCAAAACTGCCTCCTCGGAGAAGGGTAAGGTATGGCACTCCTCCTTCTGTATCTTTCACAGGGCAAAATGAAAACTCCCCCTCAGCCCCCCATCATCTGCAAACAGGCCATAGTTAGCTAACACGTAACGAGCACTTATATTTCCCACAGGCTGTTTGAAGTGTGTCACACGTACCATCTCAATGAATCCTTAAAACAACCACATGGAGTAGGTACTCCATTTAGAACTCTGAAATGAGGCAGGGCAGAGGTTTGCCTCAGGCCCCCCAAAAGTCAGTTGGAGAACCAGGATTTAAAACCAGGCATCTGGCTGCAGGGCCAGCGCTGAGCCGATCTTGCCACAGCGTCAGCTCCTTCTCTCTTGCTATGTCAGCAGGGAAGGTTAATTCATCCACTCAACAAATATTTATTGAGCGCCTACTCTGCCAGGTTCGGGAAGGCCGTATGGTCTCTGACTTTATGCAGCTTAGTCTAATGGGGAGGAAGACACCGATCAAATAATCCTGTCAATCTGTGTGCAATTGCGTGTGTGTACAAGCACTGAAGCGGACATCTATGGTGCGATGACAGTGCGTAATAGGATGATTTTACCCGGTCAGTTAGGTCGGAGCTGGAGGCCTGAAACCACAAGGCCCCTTACGACTAGGACCTGCAAGCCTGTTTGCACACTACTGCTTCACACTCTGTGACCCAACCCCAGCTTCGGGAGCCTCAGGGCAAAGGGGAAAAGAAACAGCAGGAGAAAGTGCCGTGCACCCCTCTGGGATCTTCTCTCCTTTCCTCTCGTACCTGCTGCTTTTTCCAGCCCTGAAGGTGAACTCATGAGAAGAGTGAAGCAGCCTGGCCTCCTGGAGGGTGCCCTGAAAGCTCAGTCTTGCCCAGTGTGAGAACCCAGCATCAGAAACTCTGGGGTGGAAGACAGTTCCTGGAAAAAACTAACCACAACAGACTCGCTGGGAGAGAAATGGGCATCAAGCACATAGACATTGTGAGAGAGAAGGATGGAGACTTCACAGGATCAGGGGTCCCACTGGCAGATCCTAGAGAGGTGGACATGCCCTTCATCTCTGTTCGCCTAGTGTGCCTTCTGTGGGAAAGTGAGGATGAGTATGGGGCCCCTTGAAGCCACATCGCCTCCACAGATTCGCATATGTCACCACACGCATTCGTGGGAGAGCTTTGGCAACTCAGGGACCACACAGGTGATTTTTGAAGCACTTTATCATCTCGGTTCAGTGTGTTAATTAAAGGAGAGGATGGAGAAGGATTCTCTGTCTCCTCTGAAAAGGCTTGATGGCGGAGGTCGTCTGCCTAGGTCTTTGATCCTTCAGCTCCAGCCCAACTGACATCTCAGGTATCAGAGACCCAGAAAATGGAAGATTTCATTCACTTAAAGCCAATTAAAAAAAGGAGGCTGATCAACCCAAACCAAACCTTTCCCAGACGGGCAAAAAGAGAAACATGGGGGGAAAATAAAAAGAAGATGACAGTGTGAGAGCAGAGGAATAGCTCTCAGAGAAGCTGGGAAGTAATATGAGGTCAGTGCCCTCAGTGGTGTTCACTGTCCCCACACTTCAAAGGCGAGATTCTTTGCCAAGTCCTAGTGTGAGGTTACATGCAGCACAGGCTGTCACGCCCTCCAAGATCAGGGCCAGGACTGATAACCAAGGCGGGATGCCGGGAGTGCAGGGCTGGCCAGAGAGCTGGCCTCCAGTTTATCAAGCCGAGGGGATGGCACTTTCTTCTAGGCTCACCAGACATGGTGACTCCACTGCCCTGAGAGCATTTGGTGGAAGGTTTCTGCCCAAATCCCCGTCTTTCGGACAACCACATTGCAAAAAACTAGTAACGATGAGGAGTTGATCCGTGTAGTATTCCTCCACTTAAGGGAAACCTGATTAGAAAAGATGGAAACAAAAAGTAGCTTTTGTTCAGAGTAAAGATGCTGAAGGGAAGGTGGCTTAGGTGAGTGAGTCTCACACATGGAGTCAAGAGAGAGAGTTCGAGTCCCAGCTTTGCCACTTACTAACTGGCATCCTTATGCGGTCTCTCAAATTGGATGGCTCTCCAATCCTTTGGTTGTAAAATGGAGCTAATACCAACTGCCTTATAAGGTTGTGAATATTTCATAAATGACGTATTTTGAATGCAAGGGCTTTTTAAGACTATACAATACTTTGCAAATAAAAAGGATTATTTCCATTAACCCAAAAATCAATAAAAGAAAAACAGTAGGTGAATTAAGTTTCTTTCTCCTCTGCTGTTACAAATCCAGAGCTGCTGTGTTGCTACTCACATTGTATCCCACACGAATGGCACTCCAGGAGCATATGTGAATGGTGTCCCTTGTGTGGCAATGCATGGCGTCAAATCAAGTGGAAGGAAGTCAGCTATAAATGAAAAGCACTTTAGGGCATGATTCCAGTCTATATGCTACAAAGCTATCAAATCAGCAAAACATTAATGTGAAGCAATGTGTCAGTAAGAATAGAGTAAATTATGCTGCAGTAACAAAATAATTCTCAAATCCCAAGAGCTTAAAACACAAAGGTTTATGTCTTACTCACATTACATGTCCATCACGGGATAGCAGGGGGCTTTGCTCATTCTAGTCACTAAGGGACAAAAGGTGACAAAACAGTCCCCTCTGTTGAACACTGTGAGTCACCATGCTGGAGAGAAGGAGAGCTCTGAAGATCTTGCATCGGTGGTTGCATGCTCCCACCTGGAAGGGAGACACATTACTCTCACTGCCCACCCATTGGCAGAGCCAGTCACATGACTGCAGCAACCCACAAACACCCCGAAAGAACAATTCTGCCCAGAAGGTGGAGAACCAGAAATACTTGGGAACACTAATCACTGCCCCGATCAGTAACTGAAAACCAACCTCGTCAGAATTTTATTTACTACTATCAAGTAGGGTGGGAATCCCCTAGTGAGGGCCAGTGTTCAGAAACTCCAGCCTCTGAAAGGATGTCTAGGTATGGTCTAGTCCTAATTTTACTAGATGCCCCAATTGTTTATTTGAGCTAGTCTCATTGCTATGAAAACTAACTGTATTTAACTATTCTTCGTTTTGTATTTATTGAATCATAGAATGGCAGAGGTGGATGAAACCTCAGTGCTCCAGCAGTTTCACAAAGAGGGAACAGACCAGAGAGAGGCTAGGGGGCTTTTCCTAATCACACAGCCATGTAGGGACTGGCCTGGGACAAGCATCCAAACTTTTTGTTCAAGTCTAATCCACTTGCCTCTACACCACATTTCCTTTAGCTTCTTTTGACAAGACCAGATGTTTCCATTTGGTGGGACCAGCTCTGATGTTATTTTTACTAATACAGCTGACTCATCTAACAGAATTCATCTGCATGACTTCTTTCATCAAATAATGGGATGTCTGCTCAGGGAGGCCAACAGACCCAGGCTTTTAGTGGAACTCCTTGTGGAGTGGCCTGTTTCTAAGACATTCATAAGTTCATTTGCTAGGAGGCTGGCTGGCCTATTGAGTTCACATTTGAAAGCTGTTTGTTGCAGCTTTAGGCAACTTATAAGATGAGCCCTTTATCTCCTAAAGATGTCTTCTAATGCTGTGTTGTGTTACTTGATTGGCTACTATAATAAGAACAACCATTTGTCCCATGCTAAACTATGAAGTCCGTGAGAGCAAGGACCATTCTTCCTCGGTCCATCGATATATTTCCAGTTCCCAGGCCCTCAGTAAAATTGGTGGCATGAATGACTGCTTGCTCTGGGCCACATGCAGTGCTGGGTGCTTAATAAATATCTTGTCCTCACAGCAACCTTGTAGGGTAGATATTATTGGTCCCATTTTATAGATGAGTTAACTAAAGCTAAATAGTAGAGGCCATGTAGCTAATAAGTGGATAAACTGGGGCTTAACCTGGGCCCATCTGGCTCCAAAGGATCCTCTCTGTCCACAGTACGGGTGGTTTGTCTTCTTTCTCAACATTTTTGCCTCCACAAATCTGTGAGCTTCTTAGGCTCAGCTTCACAGTGTAAGCGTCTCTGTCTGCTTTATGCCACCCAGAAAAAAGTGCTGTGTACATTACAAGTGGATCATGAATCATTGCTGACATTAATATTGTTGACAATAATATTGAATTTGGGCATAATCAGATTGAAATTATAGCCCCAGAAAACATTCCTGAGAGAGTCGGTTAGGAGTTCAACCCCTGGAGTTACACAGATCTGGCTTTGAGCCCCAGCTCTGCCACTTGTGGGCTGGGTGAGCCTGGGCAGGCATTTCACCTCTATCCACCTCTGTTTCCTCATCTGTAAAATGGTGATAAAAATGCCTAATTGATGAGGTTGTGGTGAGCATCAATGGGGTATAAGCAAGACGCTTAGTAAAGTTCCCGCTGTTCTGTCACTAGTCGCGTAGTAACATCAGGAGGAGGATTTATAAGAGCTGAAGCATTGGTAGAGATTGCTAATACGGAGAGAATTGCTGGTGGGTTATTTAAAGTTCCTCCTTGTTATTTTCTTCAAGCCATTCCATAGTTATCCATTTGTTCTTTGACAAGTTCCTGTCTGAAGAGTGGCTAAGAAGACTGGGTCTTTCAAATGTGTGGTTCTCGATTTGCAGCTGATGGGGTTCAAGTCACACTACCCCAAACTACAGCAGCTTGGCATATGGAATGTCTTAAACTGAAGGGGTTTGAGAAAATGGCGGAAACAGGATGGTCACTCTGACCTCGCCCTCCCTCCCTCTCCATTATTCCCTGAAACAGGTCATAAATCTCCTGTGGGAAAGATGCCCTCCCTGGACCAGGAGGAAGGAAGACATTCTTATCACAGGAGATAGCATTTGGGGCCGAGAAATCCGTACAGACAAATGTTGTTAGACTCACCCTTATCTTCGCTGGTCCTCCCTCACGAATTACTCTCCAAGCCCAAAGCCCTCAGCACTCAATTCTTCAGAAATTTATTGTTTCTTTGTCTAAAAGGTATTTCTTTGTCTAACAGCTTCCAACTCTGGTCACTTCTTCAGGTCTTCGTTCTCTTGTGAGGACTCTCATGGGCATGCAAAAGTTCAATAAAATTTGTATGTTTTTCTCCTGTTCATCTATCTTTGTCAGTTTAATTTTCAGACCCAGCCAAAGACCCTAAGAGAGTTTAGGAGCGTTTTCCTCCCCTCCACGTCCCTGGAGGTTTGGGCAGGAAATCACCCATTGAAGCTGGATTTTAGGTACTCAGAACTCAACTGTTGTGGGTGAGAAAATGGGATGTACGCACAGTGCACTGAAAATCCACACCGTAAAGGCCCCTTTGAAGGGAGATGCTGTGACGGTTGGAAGGCAAGCAAAAGCAAATGCCGACAAGATCTTCTTCGTGAGTTACTTGTACGTGTGTATGATCGGTCAAATCCTATTTCTTACTTTGGTTTTCTTTGTTCATACAATTTGGAGATATAGCCTTCCCCAACAAGCAGAAATGGTAGGAAGATAAAAAACAAATTATTTAAGAATTGAAATCTCTGAGGTCTTTCAAAGGAAAGAACTATGAAGGTTCGATGTATCCTCATTACTATTACGGAAGTCAAATGACTTTAAATTTAGGGGGAAAGGTCTGGGCTTAAGTCCCACCTCTGTGACTTGAGCACATTGTTTAGTCTCTCTGAGTTTTAGTTTGCTAACCCCAGAGTGAGGCTGAAGGAACCCTCCGCTTGCCTGCTGTCCCTGTCTGAGCGAGATGAGATGAGGACCAAATGAAGGTGTTTCTGCAAAGTGCTTCGTAAACTCTCAAGTACTTTTCTCATCTTAGTTACTGCTTTTATAATTATCACCTTGACTCTCTGTGTCTCCGGGGAGTGAGCTCAGAAAGGCTCAGGCAGTGATGAGGAAGGTGTGGAGTGACAGTTCCCAAGAAGGGGCTATTTTGATCGTGGAGGGCCGGCCGCTCCCGCTGATTGTGGCGGGTGCGAGGAGACAGGCGTTGGCTTTATCTTCTGAGCGATGACCTGCAGTGTGATTTTTCTGGCCACCCTTCTCCCATCCTCTGGTGTCCCGTCAGGAGCACAGGGAGTTCAGTGGGGGAGGCGGGCCTTGTGGAGAGAGGGCCTCCTCCTTCCTACAGGGCATACAAGGGCTTATGGCAAGAGGCCAAGGGCTGAATTTGAAACCCAGGTAACAGAGCCAGTGGGACGAGATTTGATTCTGCTAATCCAGATCCTAGAGCGACTAGAATGAGGGATTTGTATTTTTATGGTGCATTTATAAAATACAGTTGTTCTTTTATATGCTATTAATAATAGATTATAATGATAATGTTATTGGTTGACAAAGGACCATTTTCCAAACTATGAGACAGATAAACACATTTTAGAATTGCAAGACTTTCTTTTCTCTCTTTCCATTTCTTTTACTTTGTTTTGTTTTCTCTGTTTCATCAAACATTCATAGCACTTCTGCTGTGTACCTGGACTGTGATAGGTGCTAGGAATACAAAGGAATAACCCCACCTCTGCCACCTGGGAATTATAATGTGGCTAAACTCAGTGGTGGATGGGCAAGGAAGGAATGAAGCTTTGTTGAATATTCTATTTATCAGTCACTGTACTTTCCATTTTCACATATATTTATTTAATTTAAAACTGTAAATGATCTCCATAAGGTAGCTAATGATAATAATAACGAAACACAAATATTATTTCATTTAATCCTCAAATAACCCCATAAAGCAATACTATTACGTCTGTACTGTCCTTCAGGATGCTGAAACTGAGAGAGTTCTGGAACTTGCAGTGAGTGACTAAGCAGGCATTCAGGCCCCTGTTCCCTAAATATGGAGCCCACCACGCAACTCCACCCTTCTGAGAATTACCCCAAGGACCCCTGGCTCTAAGTGGTGGAGCTGCATTTGTACCCAAGTCCCGGGCCCATGGGGCTCAAACTCTTTGACCCTAAGCAGAGGCCACTTCTCAGACACTGAGTCCAAGCATGAGGCCAGAGAATAGGCTGGAGACAGGACTTGGGGCAGACTGGGCAGGGTCCTAGCGAGCCAGGGGAAAGAGTGGGACTGTATCCAGTGTAACACGGGGAGTGAAGAGGAGAGAAAGGAGGAGCTGTGGGCTAGAAGCAGGGAGAGCTTGGCTTTCGTGCTGGCGCGCCATCTTTATTCTGGAATGGTCAAGATGTAGCCTCTTTATGCCTCAGTTATCCCGGCTGTGAATTGGGGACAGAGAGGGCAAAGGGCACTCAGTATTCCTTCTTTTACAACAGTGGCCTGGGAGCAGTAAGCCTGGCTTGAAGACAGGGCGCCAGCTCTGGCTCCCTCATACACCAGCTGAGTGACTGTCGGCAAGTCAACTTGATGCAGCCTCCCTGTTCCCCCTTCTCTGGAGCGGGTCATCCTACATTCCCCATGGGGTTCTTGTGAGTATTAAATGAGGCAACACATGAGTAAATGAAGTGACTGAAAACTGGATGGATAAATGTAAGTGCAATTAGGATGTTTATTTTAGTGTGATAAACTAAACATGCCACCGGGTCTGCAGGGTACTGTGTGGTTAATTTCATGTGTCAACTTGACTGGGCTAAGGGATGCCCAGATATCTGGTAAAACATTATTTCTGGGTGCGTCTGCAAGGGTGTCTCCAGAAGAGATTAGCATTTGAATCAGTAGACTGAGCAATGCGGGTGGGCATCATCAATCCACTGAGGGCCAAAAGAGAACAAAAAGGTGGAGGAAGGGTGAATTCGCCCTCTCTACTTGAACTGAGATCCCCATCTTCTCCCGCTCTGGGACATTGTTGCTCCTTGTTCTTGGGCTTTTGGACTCAGACTGGGACTTATGCCATCAGCCCCCTGATTCTCAGATTGAATTACATACCGGCTTTCCTGCGTTTCTAGCTTGCAGACAGCTGATTGCGGGACTTCTCAGCTTCCATAACTGTGTAACCAATTCCTATAATAAATCTCCTCATCTGTACATCTCTGTATAGCCTATTGGTTCTGTTTCTCTAAAGAATCCTGAATAATACAGGTCCTGTCCCCTTTTTACAGGGAACTCCCTGGCGACCTGTCAGCCTGCTATCACATGGGCTTTAGGGTCAGAATGCCTTGCATTTAAAAATCTCCTTCTTTCTAACTAGGCTGACCACTTTAAATAACAGAATCTCAGTCCCTTTAATTAAGCAGGGAAGGTAATATTGGCCTAAGATGCTTGTTAGAAGGCTTAATTAAATGTAAGCAGTTACTGCAGTGCCTGACGCATAGTAAGTTCTCAACAGACCGTGCACCATGTTCCTTCTCAGAGCTCAGGCTGCAGATGCTCCCTCTCCCTCTTGGAAAGCAAAACTATCACGGGGCAAGTACATCAACCTGCCTGTGTTTCCTGAATCTCTCCCAATACCGTAGAGCTGGACAAGGGCTTACAAATCTTCAGACCCAAGCCTTTCCTTTTTCAGATGAGGATCTTGAAGACCAGAGAGGTAGATTTTGATGGTAGCTAGCGGTAGCTCTGGGGACAGAAACACTTCTCTCACCTTCTCCTCTGGACTCAGCTCCCAGGTGTCTTTGTTCATCTCACCATTGCCTCTGTCTGCTCCTAGCCCAACAGCAGCCTTGCAAGCCAGCCTGCTCTGAGTTGCTCTGGGCTGCTCGCTGGAGCAGAGAAAGTGCTGCAGAAGGCCACACTGTGTTGGCCCTAGGAAGCATCAGAAGTAGGGCCTTGAGAGGTTCTGGCAGCAGCGACCTACTTACAAAAGGAAAAAAGAGGGAGCAGTCATCATGCATTTTACTGTTGGGAGGGCTGGATCCTCTGTGATCTGATTCTTGGAACACAAGCTTGCTCTAATTGAGCCTGAAGAAATGGGACTAGGGCGCCCTTGGGCTCTGCTGTCAGAGGCACCCATGCTTAGTGTGGTTGATCATCCAAATAGAAGCCCATGATGGAGGGAGAAAGAGACAGAGACAGAACCAGAGCACAGAACCCTTGTTATGCAGGAAAGGAAAGGGGGAGAAGTGGATGCGACAGCCCCAATCCATTCTCACTGCAGACTCCATTCCAAATGTTAACAAGAATCTGTGTGGCATTTCACAGTTTACACATTGCTTTTGTGTTATCTCATTTAATTCTCCACAACAGCACAAAGTTAGGAATTTTTCCTTCCTTTCAACAAATATTTATTGAGTTCTTACTATGCCACTGGAGGTAGGTATTGGGGTCAAGAAATTTTTGCTGGTCAAGCATATTTTGAATTATTAATCACATTTTAGAGAGGAGGGAGCTGAAGTTCAGAGACTGACTCATCGTAAGTACTCGATAAACAGATTCAGAACTCAGATTTAAGACTCAAAATCTTTCCATCATACCACACAGCTGGGTGCCCATTAGGGTCATCAGACCTTAATATCCCCCATTTTGCCCCACCTCCATCACCCTGGAATGACTCAGAGAGATGAATGCATGAGAGCTCTGCATTTACACTGGTCAGCTCACACAGGTCCACAAGCAGAGCCAAAACCCTCTGCTTTGCCTTGCAATCTCATCTTCAAACACGGAATGAAGGGGGTCTCTGATTCTTCCTCTGCTTCTAGGATTGAGCGCAGCCGGAGTTATACACGTAGATTCCCAGGTCAAGAATGTACTTATTTATAACTAGAAGGATATAGGCTGGATATCAATCAATAACCATCTATTGAGCATCTTCTAAACGCTGAGCAACATGCCAGGCTTGTAGAGAGGAGATGGGACTTACAGGGTGACTTATAGGATGTGTAAGAATTAGGGAAATCAAACCGTAGGATGCCAAGACTGGAGGCTGCGAGACAGTGAGACAATGAGCTGGCTAAGTAAGAATGGGCAGTTCTTGGATTGGTGCGCAGGGGAAGAGAGAGCATCCCAGGCAGAGGCACAGTTGGGGCAGACATAGAGGTGGGTATATTATGGTATTAGGGAAAGGCTAGCAAGAAAGAGGCCTGACTACGTGATCGCCCGGATTGCAAAGCACAGAACCTGAGACAATAGCCCTGGATTCCCATACCCTAAAGAGGAATGGGCTTTAATCACAGCAAGCCTAGGTAAGTCCAGAAAACCTTGGAACCTCTAGGGTCTGACCCTTCAGCCATTTTGAGATGCTCCTTATTCCTTGGTATGAGGCCTGGAAAAGGAGGAAAGCTGCAAAATTCCCACCAGATGGCAGTATTTCCTAGTGCGACTGCCCTGGGGGCGCGCCATGGAGGGATTTGCCTGCAGAGTGCCTGGTATTATGACTTACAGTACCAGGCAGCTGTCCCCAGAGCCAGAGTTCTGGTTCTTTCCATGCCCCACCCTCCCTACTCCCCCCTCCCCCCAATAAAATACTTCCAAGGATTCTATTCTGGGAATGGGAAATGTGAGGTTGTCAGGGGAACCCTCTCCAATTCAAGGGGTACCTCCCCCTCCATTTAAAATCTGAATGGTGCAAGCATTCTCACTTCCCTGTGAGCCACAGGTGCCTGGGGAGCAGAGCATCTGGATCCTGTCTGTGTTCAGCTTTGCCCACCCCTGTGTGATTCCTCAGTGACGGGCTCTGAAGTATACCAGACGTTTCACTCCCCCTCGGTAAGCTCATGCACTTGGATCCCTTGAAGGTGGGATGGGGGCAGGTGGGGACAGAGACAGATGGAACCACAGATGACCCAAGGACAAGATGCTCACTTAGCTGCTTACTGTGCTACATACTTGAGCAAGGAGAAGGTGCGGAAGGCAGGAGTTGGGCCGGGGGGTCTGGGATCCCTTTTGTGCCTTAGTCCTACAATCTGCAAGATACTAGCGGGCTTTTGGATCAGTTTCACATCAAAGCAAACCCAATGCAAATGCTACCATTTTTCTGTTCCCTGAAGTCAAGAAGGTGGCTACCTTAAGAGTACAGATGATGTTATTTTCCAGTTTAGAGAAAGGTTTAGAGACAGCAACAGATATCATTCAAATAAAAGTCTTAATTTAGCAAACAATGGCTGAAATGACACATCATTCAGAAAGCGTATGTTTTATTTAGAGACATAGGGCTTGCCAGGACTTTGGCCGACACCAATAGCTGGGACAAAAGATGATCTGAGTATATGACAAGCAAAGGGGTCCGGAGATGGTGAGGGAAGGGTGTCACGATTTAGGTTTAGGTCAACCTCCAATGATTTGGTAGCCAAGGGCATTCCACACAATGAGGCAATTTAAGCTCCTCTTGGTTCTGAGAAGCTCAGACTCAGCTCTCTCTCCAAGCACACTTGGGTTGTCTATCGTCACATGATTCCTCTAGAACTCTGTGATGCTACTTGTGAAAATGCAACTAAATGTAGTATTGTTCTCTAAGTTTGGAAGCATTCTCTCTCAAATGTGCCTTCTTCCTCACCCCCTTCCTCACCCCTCATTGGAAGTGCTGTTTTATAAGCTAAAGAGAAATGCACATCAAGACCCTGAGCCTATTCCTCCTGACATCACTGCTGTCAGTGTTCACATATTTCATAGCAAATGTAAGAGAGACAGTGTGGCACAGTGGGAATCCCACCGGATTTGTAATCAGAAGACTGGAATTGTATCTTAGCTTATCAGAGAGCTGACTGTAGCCTCTTTAGCATCTCTGTGAACAGTTTCTATAAAAAAGTGATAGTAACTATGTGTCTTAAATCCCAGGGTTTTTTGTAAACTGAATGAGTTCATGTACATGAAAGAATGAGAGAAACTATAAAGAACTGCTGTTATCACTAAGGTTTCAAGGATCTCCCAAATGTCCTTCCAGTTTGTTGGGGTTCTCCTTGGGAACAGCAGGAGACACCTTCCCCCAGCCATGGAGCAAGTTCTCCCCATGCTCTTACCTCAAGCTGAACCCAGCGGGATCTGGGGCACCTCCTACAGCGTGTAGTGTCTGGGACTGCCTCCCCTCATCACCTTCAAAGGCTGTCAACCACGTGGTCTGGGCTGTTCTGTGACCCAGGACATGGTAGTTGCTGAGGCTCAGCCTGGGTCCTACCTCTGTGCTCTGTTACTGCTGTCTTCCTCACATGGAGTGCCTTCCGGCTTTGTCCTCATTATAAACAATGAGTACAGCCTCTTTACACCCTGGCTCCTACCTCCTTGGCCTGGTTACTCTTTCACTTCCCTTCTTCTCTACTCATAATGGCAGCTGACACAGCTTCCCAGAAAGTGCTAATGAAGACGCTGTGCTCTCATCTCTGTTCCAAGCAGCAGGTGCACCCTCTGAGGGCCCCTCAGTAAATACTAAGGGCCAATCTGCTCAGCGCTGCAATGAGTAAGTCCACTCCCTAAAAGTGAATGGATTTAAACTCTACAAGTTAAGTTGGGCTGTAGCCAGGTTAAGCCCACTTTCTTCAAGAAGTTCTCTGGATCTCCTAAATCATGGCCCTCCAGAGTCCCTGTGGATCCATCCTGGGCCCTATCTGACTATGACTACCCATCAGAGCCTGCTTCATATCAGGGAGATGTGGATTCGGGTGCAGGGGCTCCTGCCAGGGGCAGGGAGAGGCTTGGTTTTTATTAATATTTATAGTCCTTGCCACCTTTGCACTTTGTGCTCTGCATTCAATAAATGTAAGAAAGAGCAAGCATTCAATAAATATAAGTTCAAGAGTTATAGTGAAGAGTGGAGGGTCCTGCCTTAGGACATTCACATGTTTATAAGAGAGAATGGGATACAGAAATGGGAAACCCAAAAGTTAAGGCACCTGTAATAGAAACCTAGGGTCCCTTCCAACCCCAAGATGCTGCGAGTCTGTGGGTAAGTCACAAATGCAGGGCTTTCCTTTCATCAGCCTTTGTCCATTCGGAAGGACTGCCAGAGTGAACAGGGGGCTCAGGCTTGGTGTACCTGATCTTCTCTTTTCAAAACAATGAAAAGGCAGAATGGAAATTCCACAGCTGTGTGAAGTAAGGTCTGTGTCCTGACAGTTCCCTGGCTCCCACAGGTCTAGGAGGTCCTTCCTTTCTCACGCTGGTGGAAAGGAGACAAGAGGACCCCCAAGTGCTCAGACCTAGCATTTTCTAATTGGCCTGTAAGAGGATCCACTCTCTTATGGTGGCTGCAAGGTGAGCTGCTCTCCTGACATGCTCCATTGGGCAAACAGTATGGATTCTTGTGGAAACAGAAACCCTGGGTGTGGGCAACTCCAATGGAGCCCTGGGACCCTCGAGCCCATGAGCACTGGGTCCAAGCATCTGATCCGAGCCCCAGGAGGAAGATTCCAGGATAATGGGGCAGATCCTTCACTCAGACCTCAGCTAGCAGTGCAGGTCCAGGGGTCAGCAACTTCTCAACTGCAATTAGGGCAAATGAAGTAGGTCAATATGGATAAATGTCAGCACACCTTAAAGTCACAATGTTGAGTGAAAAATACAAGGGGCAAAAGGATACATGCACTAGGACATTGCCCATGCAAACTTTTAAGCAAGCATGCACATTTGAAGATAAGTAGAAGCCACGCGTGGAAGGATGCATGCTGACGTTGGGAGGATGAGTTTCTCTCGGAAGGGAGGGCAGAGAGGGAGGTGAGGTATTCAGAGAGACTTTAGTGTTTATTCTCAATTTCATTTCTGAACAAAAATCTCCTGATCCAATGTGTCAAGGTACACAAAATCTGTTACATCTTGACAGGAGGTACATGCATTACTTCCTGAACATTTGAAAATTCTGTAATAGACAACAACTTTAAAAAAACAAAGTTCTGGAGTGAGAGGAGAAAGATAGGAGAATTCTGGCTGTGAAGAGCTATTCTATGGCCCTCACCACCACCTGTGAGTCTCTATTCTGACTGCACGTCGGAACCGCCTATGATGCCCAGGCCCCTACTCAGACTTACAAATAAAGTTGAGTCACAGAAGACGAAGCCCAGGTAAGTCAATTTCTGACAGCTCCATGGTGATTCCGTCCACACCAGGGTCGGAAGAGGTGCCATGAAACGGCTGCTACTGGTCTACCCAAATGTAAAGTCTACACTATGGAGTCTCCTAACAAGGTCCCAACCCAGCGTTGGCCTTTTGCCCAGGTGGACTTCTGCTCTCATTTTAGAAGCCGCTTCTGGATTAGGCTTCTACCAGGAGAAAATGGTTCCTGCTGTTGGGAGGACCCTGGTGGTATTGTGTTCTGGCCACAAGCAGACAGAAGAGCTGAGGTCATAGGACTAGAAAAAATCTAAGATTGACTCACTAGTTCTCTGCCTGGTGGGATCACTTCTGACCACCCTGCATTCAGTGGTCCAGGGGTGGGGGTGGGGTGGTTTCTTGGATCTGTTGGGGTCCCCCAGCTGTCACCGGCGGAGCTCTTATTTTGCCTCATTTCAGACATTCAACCTTCTGAACCCATTTCCTCTTTTGGGGTCTGAGAGAAGGTGAGGGAAAGCCCCTGCATGCATCTACACTAGTGGATACAGGACGCCGTGTGCTCTGATGGGATGAACTTCGAATTGCAGTGCTGGCTCTAGGGCTGACTGCTTGTGTCCTGTGACCTTGGATGCCCTCTCTGGGCTAGGAAAGGCGTTTCCTTGAACCTGCCTACATATGAGGAAGTCGTGAGGGGCGAGCATTGTAGGAGATCTGAATACCAGCGCCGCGTCGGCCTCTATCTTGTAGTCCAATGATCAACATGTCTTGTAGGTTCTCAGCTCTTTCCTCAAGGGCATAATCCAATACTATGCATATTGCACGTTCCCAATAAATACTCGTTGATGAGAGAAATGAATGAATAAATGAAGTATTTTGAGAAATGTATGTATGACCTGAGAGCAAGAGATTGTTATAATTAGAAAACCATGGCTGGAGCTGGGAACCAAACCGAGGCGCTGGTTCCCGGTGCCTTCTCTATCAGACGTGGCTGTCCGGCTCCCAGACAGCCTGAGCCTGAGCCAAGACTCAGAACGCTGGCTTTCAGCAAAGCCCCAAGGGAAAAGTCATCCATCATAGAAGGTAATGGTGCGTGGAACGATTTCTCTCCCCTCCCCCTTCCCCAATCTTCCTCAGCCTAGTGGCTGTTGGGAAAGAATCTGACTTTCCCAAGAGAAGAAAGGCCAATTTTAGAACAGCTTTCTTTCTTTCTTTTTCCTAAGCAAACTGGTGCCAGTACAGGACATTCTGCACTGGTCTCATGCTAAGGTATTCCTGAGCTTTCTCCGGCTCTGCCTAATTTCTCTCCCCTCCATCATTCTGCTACCCCAGCCTCCAATTCTCCATCTCACTTTCTGTGCCTTCTCCCAGTATCACTCAACCCCGGGGGGCAATAAAACCAATGAGGCCACTCCACCAAAGACCTTGGTTTCCAGAACTGATGTAATGGGCTAGGGTCTGGCCTCACTGACTTGCTCATCATCCTTATAAGTGACTGAGGGTAGTTTGGACAGCTTCCCTGGAAGGAAAAGAGCCCTTAAGAAGAATTGTAGTGGCTCCTTCCTCTCCTCTATATCTGTCTATGATAGATATAGGTAATAAGAAGTGGAATAATAGAAAAATAATTTTTTGAGCCTTGCCACTCAAAATGTGGTCCCTGGACCAGCAGCATAACCTGGCATAACCATTGGCATCACCTGGGAACTTGTTAAACCTGTAGAACCTCAGACCCA